GTTGTGTGGCAATTCTCTGTGATCCTCTCTTTGCATATCTGTTGGCTGTTTGTTTTGTTTTTCCTGTGTCTAGTTTCCATTTTCTTAGTTTGGATTATTCTTTGGCTCTGCTGTGTTTTGGTGCAGATTTTTAAAAAAGCCTCTGTTCAGTCTCCATCTGCCTTTATGTTGCTGCTCCACTAGTTGGTCTTTTTCTCCCAAACACACAGAAAACATGTCCACGCCACAAAAAAGGCCTAGATGTGTTAATGGGAGAATTAGTACAATCACTTTGTTAATAGCTGAAATATTCATAGATACATCAGGCATTAGTAGAGTAGACATTCCAAAATGACTATTTTTGCTAAACGCGTGTGTTCACTGAACCAGCCCCTACATGAAGGTTTGGTTACAGGGCTTTTTGCTAGTTTTTAATCTGCATCTTGTCTTTTTCATAGAAGATTCAATATGCAGTGGGAAAAGGTAATTTAGTGAATAATATGATGCCAAAGTTGTAGTTACTACACCATAAATTGATGCAGTGAGAGCACTCTGAAAGGAGAGGTTCTCATTAGAAAACCAAGCGAGCAACCATCGTAGGGAGGGACAAATTGAAAGCCAATTTCTGGCATCAGTAAACTCATACTTCAAGTATTTAATTGTTGTTCGGTGAATAAGCTTTCAGTTTTGTTTTGTTTTTTACAAATTGCATCATGCAGTTGTTTTATTTTGGAAAATATGGGGGAGGTCATTACAATTGATACTGGAGCAATTTGGAGTATTTGTTCTCAGGCATGTCTTTATGTTGGTATTCAAATCCCCAATATGAATAGCTCAGTAAGAGACAATTACAGGGGAAAAACTCTAAGAAAGCTGTATGATCTTTGATCTGATAATCTCTTCTTGGAGGGTGGCTTGTGCCCTCTAGTCGTTATAAGCCTGATGCGTTGAGCATGTCTTAGTCTTCTCCAGCATTGTGGGCTGTTTTGCTTTATTTGAGTATTCATCAGTCCACTGATAAATACAGATGGAGTTTTCACTCAAACTTTAACAGAAAACACTTAAAACTCCATATTCCCTGAGGCATGAAAGACAATTGGATATTGCCCTTGGTCAGTCAATTGTGTACACTTCAGCCAGCTGGTCCATATTACCTTTGGGTTTAACCCCTTTCCAAAGCATCATTAAGATTGACTGCGTGTCCTGGCCTCTAAATTGAGGTTATTGGTCTTAATCCACTGCTCCGATAAACTTCTAATAGCTTACGCTTTGTGGACATGAAGCATGTCTCGCTTTATGCTTCAAAAGAACTAATTTATATTTATGACAACCTCAACCCTCCATTCCTGATTAATCCACTTATTATTAGGACAAGTATCTGTAAATCTCTCCCTCTCTCTCTGTGGTGAGCACTAAGAGAGCCAAGAGTGTGACAAGAATGACAAATCACTGATTTGTTGAATTAAATAAAAATGTTCGCTAAAAACTCCCCCTCTACTATTTGCACACTTAGCTTTGAAGAGTAAACTAATAGGGGCACTGCAGATGGCTGGCAGAAACAAGTTTTCCCATACAGCTCATCTTAAGACGATTGGTTTAAGTCATCAGCAAGCTGTTGAAGCGCTGATGATTATGATCCTCTTTTTCATCAAGGAGGGAAGGGGGAAAGAGACCCTGAAAGACAGGCACAAACTGAGTCACAGATTAACTCGTCAGCAGAAAATAAGTGATGCTTAATTCCCTCTGAAGAGTTTAAAGGATTCTATACGTCGTGAGCTGAACTGTATACATAAAGTAGCAAATGGTTTCACGAGGGATATACATCAAGGCTCTAACATGTAAGTGACAGCCAGGTTACAAGATTAACAGAAACAGGCCCGAAGCTGTTTCAAGAGCTTTCACTTTCCCCTGCCTCTTTCTGCAAAAGCCTTATTGGATGTGTCCTAACTGTATTCAACGCGTATCACCTAGCAAAGACGTGCAAGACGGTGTCCTTGAATACCCCTGAGATTCCCCCCTCGCACCTTCTCCTATCTTCCTCCAACTCAACTAAAGCAGATGGCCACTGAACGGAAACAGCACCCCAGTGAACCTGACTGCATCTGCTTTGGGTCACTCTCTCACACATCTGCACACACACACACACACACACACACAGATGTCACCACGACAGCACAGAGTAATAGACACTCTCTCTATGACATCATTATGTAGAAGAGTATAAAAGGTCTCTGTTGAAACAGCACAAAGCAAACAGTGATTTTCTGTTGAACCCTGCAGCTGTGCATGACAAATGAAAACAATTATAAAAAACTAAATTAGAGCTGATGAAGCTGGTTAAGCGGGTGCCATAAATGACCCGTCATGCGCCCTGCTATAAACCCCCACCATATATTTCAATTTGCAAAATTAAAGTCACTTACAGTGTTTTTGGATAATTAGATTGTTCGAAATTAGTGTTCTGAAAGACAAATTATTAGTATTAAAATGGCCTGTATATACTAAATTTTTGCATCATAATTTATGCTCCCACCCAAATCTTGCGTGTTTACATAAGACCACAACCTCCCCTGATCCCCGGATGAATTCTGTGAAGCGTGACTGCCAAGTCCATGTAGATTTAAAGGTAGCAGACCTGAGTGTTGAGCTGTGGTGACTGAGTCAGTTTGAGAAGTTAAAACTGTTTCTTTAACTCCCGCTGTGCAAAACAAAAGCTGATCATTCAGGACACAACATAATATGAAAGATTAACGCATCACGACAAAAACATAGACTAAACACATGAGCATAATTGATGTAAACAAATATATAAAAAGGTAACAAATCTATATAAATATAAATATTTGCACAACGGTCACAGCGCACACAAAGCAGACAAAAAGAAACTTGTGACAATGGAGAAAAGGGAAAAAGTTGTCAGCTCTTATTGATTCCAAGCAAAACTGGCGTAACCCTGAGGCTACATTGATTTCTAAGTTGTTTGTTACAGATTTGACCAAGTTGTTTGCCCACATTGTCATTCTGATAAACCAATCTTAGAATCTCCACAGCACTGTTAAAATCAAATAAAAATGTCGGATAAAGTATTATACCAATACACCCTTGTATTGCCAATGTAGTTATTACAGATATAACGATAATAAGAAAATATTGAAATCATATTGTTTACATTAAAGAAGGGGGCTCTGAACTTGATGACCTTCTGTGTTCGTGCTGTTTTGTGACATCCATATGAAATGAGGAATAGCCACCAGTGGCCAGGGTAGCTCCCATTCACAGCACAACAAGCGACATCCATTTCCAGGCGACAGATCATTACGGCTCTGATGGTCGACAGATGGTGATGAATTGGCTCCGATAAAAGCACTAGAAAATTTCAGAGGCAGTCAGATGCACAAACTGCTTCATCACATTTTCTCCACGGTGTATGCAGCCTGAGCATGCCAAAAACGAAATTTCTGAATATTTCCTCCCCCTCCTCCACTTCACCAGAGATTCAACATACTGCAGGGATGCTTGCTCAAACAGATGTTTGCTTTTATTTAATAATTCACAATTTACCAAAGATGCAGGGTAATATCAACCATATGGCAACTTAATAATGTCAAACAAACATGCAAACAAGAGAAGGCTGGTTTCTAAATATTCCACTGAGTAATGTACAGCTGCAAAGGCTGAAAGGAAAATGATCTACTGTTCCAGGTGACACTGATAACTAAGAGACTGTGGAAGGAATATTATCCTGCAAACCGATGCTGGCATCTAGTGGTCTAGATATGTCCTGGGCTTACTATCATATTACAGGACCATGCAAAGAAAACATAGAGCTTTCTTTGTGTAAATTGCACTTAGAGCAGCATTTCCAGACTTACTGAAATGTGTTTTTGTTCTTTTGCTGACATACCACATTGGTATTTTTTTCTTTGAGCACAACTTCGTCATCCTTTCATAAGAAAGGTGGGAAATGTAAATGAAAATATTTCAAATATTTCAAATAGACACTTTAGACCTTAATTCCACTGTACTCAATAGGACATTTGGAGGATGTATTTCTATAACTTTTGAAAGCTAATATTTATTACAGCTTTCCTTTTCATTTTACAATTTATGTGAAGTACACTTGTATTTCTCTGAGATAAAGAAATTGTAATAGAGTCTTTTAGTTTTCATTAAATATGACCATGACTACCTCAGCAATTACTATAATTATTATGACGCAACAAACTTCACCCACATTACACAATATAATCTAAGGCTTACAAATAGCTCACCCATTATCTCACCCAGTAATCTGTATCTGTGTTATCAGTCTCAACAACACAACAAAACTGGATTACAGAGCTGTCTGATGTGAGACACCCTGTTATTTTTTTTCCATGGGGGAGACAACGGATTACGTCCATATTACGTAAATGGAAAGATGTGAGTTCATAGCTAAAGTTGATTATTTGACTCGTGGTTGACTTGCTTCTGCAGTGCTTGGGATATATGGTAGCCATGTCATGGTGATAAAAGGTATACCAACTGCTGGTAAAGATTTGGTAAACTCAGAATATAGCACACACGTAAAAATAAAGCTTTTCACTTTTTAGTTTACTTTCTTCTTTTGTTTGACTAGAAATAATATTTTGGGAAAAAAATAATGAGAGAGGAACTGCTGACAATTTAATACTGTAGTTTAGGTTCAGAGGGCACTTAAAGAATTATGATTAACAGATTATTAAGACACATTAACAACATTTAAAAAAATGCAGATTGAAACACAGCATGGGAAGAATTTAATTATGTACAATTGAAAAATGTCCTTTTTTGTCTTATAACTTAACATAATCAGGAAAAAAGAAATACAAGAAACGAGCATCTGGGGAATGGTAATGTCAATTTTGTCCGAGGAGTTTCATCTTTAAAAAATATATTTGCAACGGCAGCACTTAATATTTCTGATTCAACGACTCAAGTTTCGCAAATATACTTCAACTCCCAGAGTTCCCACTTCCGGACATACTCCAATCGAGCTCTACGGAAATATGGTGATGCGCTTGGATCTCGTCCAATAGTTTTTTCGGGTTCATTTGATTGGCATAGCAGCAGACAGATGTCATTGGTTTCTATGCGGTTTCTAGGAAGTGAACGCCACGATTCTAACCACCTCCCACATGTGATCTCCTGTCGATAGCACCACGCGTAGCGTGTGAAGGAGAGAGAAACCGGTCGGGAAAGCAACGTCATTCCTCGGACCACCGACTCGACGTAACGCAGCAGATAGAGAGCGGAGAGGAGCGGCGTTGTCCGTGGCAGGTAAAATAAATAACAATTTATACCAGTCGACCAGAAATATGAAAAGCAGTAGGTTGGTTTCCAGGGGAACACAAAAAAGTAGGTCGAATTAGATAAGAACAGGGTGGGCACTAGGGCCTGGTAGACTACAGGCCTGTTGTGCTCCCCGCTCTGAACTAACGGAGACAGCCGGAGTGGGGCCTTTCCTTTACGGTTAGTTTAGCCCCTTTTACTGGTCAGGTGCCATAACGGACACCCCGCCAGTAGATCGGAGAGGTACCTAGTTCTTCTTTAGACCAGAATGGCAGCTTATGAAGACTGTGCATATCGGTCGGTCTGTTTTCAAGGAAGCCCATTACAAGCTCTGTTCTTTTTATTTAAAAAATTTTCAGGTGGTGAAGCGATTACAGCAGAAAGATGGCGGACGACCCCAGCGCGGCGGATAGGAACGTGGAGATATGGAAAATCAAGAAGCTGATCAAAAGTTTGGAAGCTGCCCGTGGGTAAGTGATCTATATAGGTTCCATGTAGATGTAATGATTATCCGAAATGTACCATACTGTATGGTTCCGATTAGGGGTGTACATGTGGATCGCCTCAACAGCTGGAGATAGGATAAGAGGGGCCGAATTTGGGAGTGGTTAGCATAGCTAACTTAGCTTACCATAGATTTAGCTGCTATTTGTTAGCTCATTGCTAAGAGCCAACTGCAGACACATTTTCCACATCAGGTGGCCAGAAACGTTGTGTTGGGATTGGAAAATGTTTGGTTAATGTTTGTGTGTTCCGAATGACATTGTGGAAGAACTTGTCGAGGTCCATTTAGAGTGTAAAGCCGGGACCGGCGATGCTAGCTTTGTAGCTAATACAACTTGCTAATAGACGTCATTTCTTGAAAGAGGCCGCCATGGGTGTTAAACAAAAACCTTAAAAGATGTAAAACGAAAGTCGGCTAGCAAACAGTGAAGCTTAAACGCCATTTCACATTACAATTCACAGTTCTAAACAAGGTCTGAGATAACGTATGAAGCAGAAGTGCATTCTTTGAAAAGTGTGTTGGTCACCTCATGGCAACCGATCAGCTCGATGTTACTTTTAAGGTTGATTCAATTGGAACTGACAGATGAAAGCAGTCTTAAGTTATCCGACAGCTTCAGACCTCTTAACTGACGAGATTGGTCATGTGAAATAAAGGTGTTGGGACGCCGGTGTGTTGCTTGCTCTGCATCGGGCTTGCGCAGAATTTGCTGTCCTGTTCTCCAACGCGTGCCATGTCACACACGGTTGACCATTTGCCCTACATTCATTGAGCTGTTTGTACCTGGCTGCCTGTGTTTCCATTCAGTGTAGGGTCGTGCTGGTGTGCTGTGTCTTTGTTAGAAGTGATTGGCGAACCAAGTGCTGTATTGGAAACTCAGTCCTTGGATTCAAGGGCAGATATTGTTTGGTGTGACTGAGTGACCATTGTGGTCGCCCCCCAGCCTTTTAAACTATGAGGTGTTCTTTTGTCAGGAGCTATGGTGTTTACACTGTAACGTCAGGATTAGAGTTAACGTGTGATAACCTTTCCTGCCGTTGCTGCATCGTATCAGTGGCATGAACATAGATATGTGTTTTGTCGTCTTAGTGCTAGTTTATGCCTCCTATTGTGTGTTGGCTGTATGTAGGATACATACAACTGCTAACTTTAAATCTTCACTCCCTCTACATAGTAATGGCACCAGTATGATCTCATTGATCATCCCTCCTAAGGACCAGGTATCCAGAGTGGCCAAGATGTTGGCTGATGAATTCGGCACTGCTTCCAACATCAAGAGTCGAGTGAACAGACTCTCTGTTCTTGGGGCCATCACCTCTGTACAGCAAAGACTAAAACTCTACAACAAGGGTAGGTGTTATTTATGATGAAAGATATATATGGGGGTAATGTTCTGAACTAAGCTTGACTGAATCCATTTCCACCAGTGTATCCTGACATAGAATAGTGTTTAGGGATCAGACTATTACGCTGATTACATTGTAAAAGAAACATTTCAGTCATTTTTACCACCAGATATCACCTCATGTTCTAAGTGCTACACAGTTTCTTTAAAAAAGAAGGGCTAAAAACTATGGATTACTTAAACATTTGAATTAATTCTCTCCTATCTCTTTTCCAGTGCCACCTAATGGTTTAGTTGTGTATTGTGGCACCATTGTGACAGAGGAAGGCAAGGAGAAGAAAGTCAATATTGACTTTGAGCCTTTTAAGCCAATCAACACCTCTCTGTACCTCTGTGACAACAAGTTCCACACAGAGGTGAGGGATTTTACTTGTCTTCTAGTACACGCATATTACTTTTTTTAGATGGACTTCCAAGGGGGGGAAGTTGGAATTTGGTGTCCTTGTTGTACTTGCTGTCTTTCGCTTACCCAGTTTTCTTCTCCCCTCCTACCCGCTAACACAGGCATTGACGGCCTTGCTCTCTGATGACAGTAAGTTTGGCTTTATTGTGATCGACGGTAGCGGGGCACTGTTCGGCACACTGCAGGGCAACACCAGGGAGGTGCTGCACAAGTTCACCGTGGACCTACCCAAGAAGCACGGTACTGAGCGACACTGATCAGCTCGTTACTGTGTCTTTGTATGAAACGTTTAGATATCGCATTAATCACCTGTCTTTTTTCCTCTGTCAGGCAGAGGAGGACAATCTGCCCTGCGTTTCGCTCGTCTTAGAATGGAGAAAAGACATAACTATGTGAGAAAGGTGGCTGAGACAGCCGTCCAGCTCTTCGTGTCCAATGACAAAGTTAACGTTGCTGGAATGGTCTTAGCTGGCTCAGCTGATTTCAAAACTGAACTCAGCCAGTCAGACATGTTTGACCCGGTAAGTCTGTTTTTATAAGAAGTTGTTTTTACGCATGAAATGCTTGTCATTGTAGAGAATGGGTCCCTACAAAGTTTTCAGTCAGCAGCTTTAACAGCAATTGTCACAAACGCATACACTTGAATTTTAGATCATTTATCCATGGCACGTTTTAAGTAAAATGCTGTTTTTTCTTTTTTATTTATTAATTAAATAGACCTTTTTCCATCTTGACAGAGATTTACTTTGCATTTAATTGTGTATATGTGTATATATTAGAGTAGAGAAAACATTTGTCTTGTTAAATAGGGCCTTTTTTAAAATACAATAACTAGTCCTGACTGTGGGAGGAATGAGTTACTTATATAGAGTTCTTAAGTTTCTTAGTGCTTCCTGTGTGTAAAGTACTTCCTTTGTAAGACACTGAACCTTTGCATTTGTTTAACCACAGAGATTACAGGCCAAGGTTCTGAAACTGGTGGACATCTCCTATGGAGGAGAAAATGGTTTCAACCAGGCTATCGAGCTCTCAGCAGAGGTTCTCTCAAATGTCAAGTTCATCCAGGAGAAGAAGCTCATAGGTGAGGCCCTTTCTTGAGGCTGTTTAACGATGTCATTGCAAACCGAAATTTGTTTGTAAGATGTTCTCTAAATGTTCCTTTGATAGGCCGGTACTTTGATGAGATCAGTCAGGACACCGGAAAATACTGCTTTGGAGTGGAGGACACTCTCAAAGCCTTGGAAATGGGAGCCGTGGAGATCCTCATAGTCTATGAGAACTTGGACACCATGCGTTATGTTTTACGTGTGCATGGGGCTGAGAGCAATGGATTAGAGAATGGTACCCACATCCTGTGATTCTGCCCTCTAAAAACAAGACGACACATTCAATTGTGTGATTGCAGAATTTTCATCTTTCTGCCTTCATTTCCAGATGAGAAGACTTTGTACTTGACGCCAGAGCAAGAGAAAGACAAGTCTCACTTCACAGACAAAGAAGTGAGAACTGCGAAGGAAAAATGCACATGCCTGTGGCTGAATGCCGTGTCTAACTGCCTCTTAACTGTCCTCGCAGACGGGGCAGGAGCACGAGCTGATCGAGAGCATGCCGTTGCTGGAGTGGTTTGCAAACAACTACAAGAAATTTGGAGCCACGCTGGAAATAGTAACAGACAAGAGCCAGGAAGGGTCCCAGTTTGTCAAGGGCTTTGGAGGCATTGGGGGTAAGCCCACTGTTTTACCAAAGGATTACTGATGTTGCAAATACTGCACATGTTCATCTTGAAGTTGGATGTTACGATGGACATGAGACAGAAAAGCGATTTAAGTTATTTATCTATTAAATTCCTGGTAAATAAGTAAGAGTAACCCTGGAATTAATAAGTTCCCTTTTTCTAACGGTCCTCGTTGGGCTAAATAGGTCATAGAAATTCCAGTTTGAATGTTATTTCTGACTTCATTATTAAGTAAAACAAATGTAGTGCTGGTGATTGCCAGTTAAGTACATCTAATGACTGGGTTCAGACAAGGGAGGGATGTTCCCAAGTGGTTACTGGAACCTTTCCACCATAAAAATAAACTATTGTCAGATTTCCAAAAAGCACAAAGGAGGAGGATTTCATAACTAGATGCATTAAAGGCTGTTCTCATACCTGCAATGAAGCGCTGAGAGTTTGCAGGCACATTCCAGAGAGGCTGCCTGCGAGAATGCAGAGGCTTGCTACATTATAACACCTTTACGTGCAAAGATGGCCCAACTATTTGTGAATAGGTCCATTTGTGAATGCAGCAGCATGGACATTTAGAAAATTAGTGAATGCCGATCAGTTGCTTCTTCACGCTTTTGAAAAGAACAAAAAAATTCTGCTGACGCGTTCATTGCTTCTCAGGGGGTTGTTGATATTGTAGTTATGCCCTAACGGCACACGTGGTGCTGGTGTCGGCACGGAAAGTAACGGGGTGGGGAGCTGCTTCTGCCATTTTTAACATGGTGTAAGCCAAAGAATTTCCAAGTAGTACTTTTCCCATCATGCCTTCCTTCCTGTGCGCTCTTTGAGTTGGCGCTAAGACACTGGTGATACCTCTATATACATGTCGTCTTCAATTTCTCTGGTGTTTTAGTGTGAACACTTCATGTTGTACAAATGAATTAATCCCATGGGGGATTAGTTTTTCCTCAACTAAAACGTTTCTTTAAGTGTTGCCGCTATCTTGCCAAGCGCAGTATGAGCTGTCTCGCAGTTATATTACACCATTTAATCACCTCTGTGTTCCACAGGTATCTTGCGGTACAGGGTGGATTTCCAGGGCATGGAGTACCAAGGAGAGGACGACGAGTTCTTTGATTTGGATGACTACTAGGTAGTCTTGGACTGATATTGGGAGTAAAAAAAGAAAAAGAAATGAATGAAGAAATGAGGAAAGAAAAATGCCACCTCTCTTGCAGCAAGCGAGAGGGGCAACTGTGTTGATCATATATATATGACAGACACACCTTCAAATTTCTGTTGCATACACAAACTTGCAAGTACATCAGTAGACAAACAAAATGCATCACACAGGCTGAAGAGGAGTGAGATTTTCTTTCATCCAGAGAGGGAGAAAGCCCTTCCTGAATAAATCCCTGCCTTAGAGTGCTGGTTCCTTCCCCTAGATGGATTGGACTCGACTCATTTTGGTTCATATTTTTCCCCTCATCCCCTCCATTTTGAATGAACACAACAGCAAGTTCCCAGATTTCTCGCTGTCCCTAACCCAGTCTGAAGATGAACTTTGGAATATTTCCTCACATAAAGAAAGTATATTTTCCTTTCTTGCCTCATCGTGTCCCTCTCTCTTTCTCCCCTCTATGCTTTCTCTTCTTTTTTTTTTTTGCATTTCATTTTTTTACTGGTAACTGCTGCTGTTGTATTTTATGAGAGTGGGGGATTTTTTTTACCTGGGTTTCTGTAGAGAAAGGGGGACAAAGTATTAAATTTGAACTGCTGAAAACCATTGCTACCTCCTCATCTACTGTGGTCTCAATCTAATGCTGTGTCTCATCTGTTCCTTAAAGTTCTTCAGTATGGCTCTGTGTGTGGGGAAACGTGCATGACAGTTTAGTGTCAGCCCTTTCATCAACTGCATGACGCTGAAACTGAACCCATTTTAACTTATAAGAAACCATAACAAGTTTGTTTGGCAAAAGTAGTGACTTGTATCCCCCCTGGGCTTGATAGGCAATGCTTGGAAATGTGATTGAAATGCCCTAATTGCCGATATATTGAACAGTGTCTCTGTTTGGAGGCTAGACTTTTTTTTTATTACTCTTTTAAAGGTTGATTCTGAACTTTATTTAAAGACAGACAGTTGTCTTAAATGATTGGCACTGCCTCACTTAATTAGATAAATAAAAAGTTGTATTCATTTTTTTATTATTTGGGGGAATAGAGGAAAGCTGTTGCAGAATCTCATTCCAAGCTTCATCTTAAAATGTAAATTGTAATACACATTCCTAACACATTTGATCATCATTTAACTCCATGTTAAACTTGCTTGACTCAAGTATGTTTAATGAAATCTAAACGGAAATATGTCATTCAAATCTGACATCACATTCATTGGTAATCATTAGAGTTTACTACCTGCTTCAGAGTAATTTCACAGGACACATTTTAACTACCATGGTGTAGAGGAGTAAGTATTTCCCCCACTGCAAGTTCTGTTGAAAGGAGAACAATAACACAAGTAAATTAGAACATAGTCAGGTTGTCAGTATAAGTGCTGTACAAAGCCTAGTAAAGGTCTTTGCATGCTCATACAATCTGGTTCAACCCCAAAGTTTTTATGATCATCTCTATACTTGTATGAGGACATTGTGATACAGCCATGTTTGAATTATCCCTGTGCATATTTATTGCACACACATTGCTCCTATTGGTTACAAAATGCATATTTAATATGGAGATTCAACGAGGCAGCAAAATCCTTTAAAAAATATTTCATTCATCTGATTGCAAAGTGTTATTTTTGCTGCTTTTTGTCTCGGCGCTGCTTCTATCAGTTTTATTTTTTTTCGGGCTGGGTTTAAATGGTAAAGCATGTTCCGGTGACCAGCATCCTGCAGCATTTCATAGCAACGCTATGCGGATGATTGATTTTGGTGTACTCCTCTTCAGGATAGCAACAGCATCTTCATCCATTTGCCTTTTTGTTTGGGGGAGTCACCGGGGAAAGACTTCGTACCGCGGTCAGCCAATCAATGAGCAGCGTAGAGCTAAAGACCGCCTACTGAGATAAAATCAGTCCAATCGGCGCTCCTCTATTATTGCATGGGCGGTCCCATCCCCCATCCACCCTTTTGACACTGCCCTACCAAAGCCGTGGTTGTGCGAAGTGAATGACGTCTCTGAATTTGCGGGCCGCCGACGCAGGGCTGGGTTTCCATTTTCATAGCGAGTTTCGGGGGGGATCGTCAACATGGAGCCGGAGATGGAGGACAAGACGGTGGAACTGATGGTAAGATCTCTTTCAGTATTTGATTCCGGACACCCGGAGGTATCACTGACGGCCCTTTGTTAGTGAAAGCGCCCAGGCTCGGTTCGACGATTAGGAATGAGCTGAGGCGGGTTGTCGGGAGAGGTGGAGGAGAAAGGAGGAGGGGGGGGGGCACCAGAAATCAGAGGGAGGGCCTGAAAATATCTTTATATTTTGTTAAGAATACTCAACAGATCGGTCGTATTGACTAACGAAATAAATGTGGGTGACTAAGGGGGGAGAGTAAAACATTTTGGTACGGTCAAATTGAACGCATAATACGGATATTTACAGGTTTAGACACCGTTGTCGGCCGATAGACAGCGGAGGATTCTCGGGGTAGCGTTTACTGCGGTGACGCTGCGCCACTTTAACAGGGCCCTGTCTGATCTTAGCTAGCCATCCTGCTAACACTGGCTACGAGTCGATGAACCACGTACATTTACTTGGAACAATATATTATTTGATGTAGTTTACCTGTCGGCGCCGCACATACTAATAGATATGACAGGCACTCAAATATGCGTCAGAGTGCAACGAAATGTAGTAAAAATCAGTACAGTGCGCCGCTTGTCTGTTTATGTTTCTAAAGTGCGTAGAAGGAAGTATTGCCTTTTCATTCACACACCGATACCACGATTAGCGAGTGTTAGCACTTAGCTTTGCAGCTAGAATGCTAAATGTGCCTATATAAGTGAGACATTTCGATACCAGAACAATAAGTCAATCCATTAGAGGATTTTGTGATTAGCAAAATCCAACACTGTATAATCGTATGAATTTTTCAAATCAAATAGTTATATTTAGCCTATAGAAACTATTTTCGCTTACATTAGTTGCTGTGTCTAAGCCAAGAAGGCTAATGCTAGTTTGTCAATGGCTAACACGAACATCACAGGGGTCATACTTATCGGAAATAATGGGTAATTGCAGTAATTCACGAATGTTTGTGTTTGGTTACTATATTGAACATAAACACGTAGTAATTTACAAGTTGGAAGTTATGTTTGAAATTTTTACGCATGTAAAACACGGTGTACGTATCGGTTTCTCTAACAAATAAACTTCTCGTAGTTCTTACACGCCAATTTTGGCCTAGAAAATGATACGGGGTTATATCCTAACACTTTCTGACCAGTCCAGTAATGTATAGCCCATGTTTCACCGAGAGAGCTGCTTATTTACCTCGGCGAAAATGTTACATGTTAAAGGCATTTAGATGGTAGAAAAAGTAAATAGTAATCACTGACGTGTATTTAGATAAAAGCATACTCTCACAGTCAATTATGCCATCACCGGATATAACAAAATATATACAAACTAATGCAAAAAAGGATGTTTAAATCTAAATAAAGGCAGACCAGTTTAATTTTTAGAGAACATAATTTCTGAAAATGTTCCCAAAACTAAAATATATTGAATTTTATGGCTAAGAGTGTAAAAGATACTAGACAAACAAGATGGTGTAATTAATGTTTTTTTATGTGAAGTCATTTGGATCAAAAGGGTTACTGCTCCACTCTTAAACATCTTGACTGATCTATCTTAAAGATTATTTAAGGAAGGCTTCTCTGCCTTTAGATGTTTTCAAGGAAAACATTAAGTATGAGTTGTCTTTGTGTTTAGTTTGATTTAATTTATTTATTTATTTATTTTTGTCCCAGTGTTCTTCACTAACCACTCATGAGAGAGGGGATGGCAGAACAGTGGGTGGGGTTTCTGTCAAAAACGGGAGGGTCCATAATTGACAATTCCATTGCCCCTCCCTGTCCTCTACCTATCCCCACTGAATTCATGTCTAATAATGCTTCAGTGTGTTTGTTTATCAGTCTGTTTCTTGTGTGTGAAGGAGTGTGTGTTCCTGCGCTCACTGTGCAAATGTGTGTAGCTCTAATACTGGTTTTTCCCCTCACTTCCCTCTTTTTTCTCTCTTCACTCTTAATGGTTACACACTTGCCTCCTCTCAATCTCCAACCAAACCTTATTTACGTATCCATTAATTTTCTGTTCTTGCAACAAAACCACACTCCACTGCCCCCGTTCCTTGACTACACCCCACCTCTTTCACACATATGTCCATCCATTGACCCAACCCCTCACACACCTCTTTTGATTTCCTCCCCCCCAACTCACCTTGTCATTCACCCTCTTCTTTTTCTTTACTTTCTCCATCTCTGATCTCTCGCTCTACCTTTTTCTTATCTTACCTCACCTTGTCTACTTGGTTCTCCTCCTCCCGTCCTCCCTTCCTCTCTCTCTTTCACACAGTGCTCTGTGCCTCGCTCTCTCTGGCTGGGCTGCTCCTCGGTGGCTGAGAGTTTGTGTGCACTCAGGTGCCTGCAGAGCATCCCCTCCACCCGGGCTCACAACCAGGTTCTGCCTCTCTCCTCTTAATTCTGCTGCTCCTCCTCCTCCTCTCCCCTCCTCCCTCACCATCTCCTCACCCTTCACTTTTCTTTGCCCACTCCACACAAATCTCCATACCACCTTAGTGCTGATGGCACTTACTCACCCTCATCTCACCCTCCTACCCCCTCACCTTCCGTTTTCCTTTCCTTTTGGAAGCGCTCGAGTCTTCAGGTTCTACTCTGGTGCATCCTCAAAATCCTTTCTGATACAGGTGTGCTTAATTCTAGGTGTTCAAAACATAGCTTCTTTAAAATCCTGCCGGGGAAAGTGCAGCACTTAGAATACTCAGAATCCAAGTTGGCCGCGAGTGTGGATTGTGATGAAAACCGCACACTTTAACAGAATAGACCGACATGGTAATGGAGGAAGGATGCAGGATGTACCAGAGACTATCCATGCATTAGGGAGAAATGTTCTCCTCTCTTCTACCTGGAGGTGTGAGGGCTGTGGTGGGGGGTCTTCAAGCTCTGAGAGGCTACATGCTTGCTTGCTTGCTTGCTTGCCTGGCCAAATGTGGTCTGTCTGTCCTTTTAAATTCTGTCATCTTCTCTCCCTCTGCTCTGCATGATCACCAAAACTGGCAAGACCATTCTGGCTTTGCGTCCTGTCTGCTTTGGTCTTGGATCTTTTGTTTGTGAGTTTGTATTCACAGCAACTTCCAGTTTCAACAATGAGCAGAAACACAATACAGTGATAAGTGCACAAAGCAATCAGGAATATGTCTTTATTTAACAACAATATGGGTTTACAAACAAAGTAGTCTTTATCAAAATAGCTTACCAAGGGCATCTATTCACCCCCTTGTGCTGAATTGGTTATTATGGCTGACAGATCAACATTTTACAGCAGAACGGTGGTTCAGTCATTATTCAAACAGATACACAAAACATTCAATCTGTTTCAAGTAAAACTTTGTGTGTCACATTTCCCTAAATGGGAAGAATTGAGGTGTGTGTGGGGGGGTGCTTTGGTGCCTTTCACATGTCGCTTTACTCCGTCAGATTCGTGTTGTTCTGTATAGCGTGTAAGAGAGAAGTGTATGCAAATTTGTTGAAAATGTTACCGTGACAACTGCCAACCCAACTTTCTAATGTGAACTAATGTGAATATGTGCCTTGCCCAATACTAAAATTATACCTGGAAAGCAAACCCCTGAGAGTACAGCTGGATTCTTTGGGGTCTAATGTTTGTCATGATGTTGTAATATCATGGCGTTATCTATATATGACTTCCAAATAAGCATTACTGCTCCAATAAAACATCACTAAACATCACTCGGGTAGAAAACGAAACAGTGAGTTGTAGTTTTTTAGTGTTGGCCAGTTCCTGGTTGGTCTGTGCATGGATGCTGTCTTGTAAGCATGTTCGTCATCTTAAGACATTTTTCGAAATAGGTGGGATTGGGTTACTTTTGTTGCTTTTTTCTATCCTCGGTAGACGCTTTGTGACGCTATCTGTTTCATTACTGTCGGGCTTGAACTGGTGCCAGTGACCTACCCAAGATTTTGCTCTTTAATTTCCTGTCCAGACTACTTAGTTCATATCACAGACAAGAAAGCAGATAGATTCCTGTTGTGGAGGTGCTCCAGTTTCTTTCACTCCATATGTTTGTGTATGCACGGCTGTTTGTGCGTGCACGCCTCAGAATTCTAGATGATCACCCTTCCTTGGCTGTTTTTCCTTTTTAGCGCTCTTGCGTTTAGTGCTGTGCAGACTGCTGCAGCGGCTGTTAGTTAGGATTTTACAGACTCGATTGGAGGGTAACACTAACCTGTTCCTTCTCTTTGCTTTGTGTCCTTTTGATAGAACACACCAGGGATGGAGTCACAGAACCTCATGGATGACCTGTCGCCAAAGAAGAATACAGTTATCAAGGTGGTTGTGTCTATATTCATGTCATATCTCAAAGGATTCAGTGATTGTGGACAATATTATCTGGCTCTAAGAGGAACATTTTGAATGAAACTGTTTTTATTTCTGAATTTTACAGCTTAGTAATGGTCCCGTTGTGGGTTCACGCAAGCGTCCGTCAGAAGGGAACTACGAGAAGGAGAAGGAACACTGCATTGCCCTGTTTGACCAGTGGTCAGAGGCAGACCAGGTGGAGTTCGTCGAGCGCCTGATATCCCGTATGTGCCACTACCAGCACGGCCACATCAACTCCTACCTCAAACCCATGCTGCAGAGGGATTTCATCACTGCATTGCCAGGTAAGTGTGGATACACGTGGAAATCAATTTACTTAACACTCATCCCATTTTAGCAAAAATTGATGTCTTTTTGGATATTTGTCTTAAAAAAAAAGATAGGGAAATGCTTTTTGGTTCACGTTCTTAGCTCTGGTCTCCCTCTTTTTAGCCCAAGGCTTGGATCACATAGCAGAGAACATCCTGTCCTTCCTGGATGCCCGCTCGCTGTGTTCAGCAGAGCTGGTGTGTAAAGAGTGGCAAAGGGTTATTTCTGAGGGTATGCTGTGGAAGAAGCTCATTGAACGTATGGTCCGAACCGACCCGCTTTGGAAAGGCCTGTCTGAGAGACACCAATGGTGAGGATGAAGGCCCACACACATGGAACTAGGGGCTTTGATTTGATGAGGGTGTAGTAGCAATGTTCTTTTCCTAAGCTTTTGTCTTTAAAACCTAATTAAAGATCAAAGAAATCCTGCAGGACATAAGACAGTGACTATCGTGGTGTTTTCTTCTACACTTTGTTTAAAAAACCTTTCTTTCTATTCCACAGGGAGAAATATCTGTTCAAGAACCGCACACCAGAAGTCCCACCCAATTCGTACTATCACTCCCTTTATCCTAAGATTATTCAAGACATAGAGGTAAGACTCAACTAAACTGTCTATTTATTAGCAGGTCTGTGATAATTTATTTTTTTAATTTTATTTGTCGAATCCTTGTTTAATTTAGTGTGTTGTAAGCTTTTGTTAGTGGGGCCCCAGAACCATAGACAGAACTGGCGTGATTTAGCAAAATTACATTTAGGGAAATAATCACACTGCCTCAATGCTGAATGATATTTAACCTTATTTGGTAAGTGTTGATTTTTCTGCATTGTCTTTGGGTTTTCCTGGTAAACTGTTGGTCTAATAGCACTGAGGAAGAAACCCCTCTGTGCCTCTGGCTGAAGCGCTGACATGATTGCTCCATCCCTCACCAGTGAGGCCCTTTCTTTCTTTAATGCTGCTCTCTCAGTGGAGTGCACAGCACACTGTTGAAAGGTGGAGACTGGAATAAACCTTTTTCAGCGTCCTGTCTAACCATGGAAGGAGTGAGCTGTAAGGGCAGAAACTCAGGGTAATGGGCTCTAAGTTGGAGTGTGGTGACCACAGCACAGGGAGAGGCTGTGTCCAGCCACCCAGTCCAGCCCACTGAGGGCAGGGATGCACAGATGGGAGGATGGATCACTTTACTGAGATTGTTTTTAAATGGTGCTGTCGATCAAGATCTTTGCTGCAGCTGCTGTTAAATAATTGAGCAAGCTTGTATATGAAATCTGTTATTTTGTTTATTTTTCATCAAATCTCTCATTAGCCAGAAATAAATATCATGTTCATACAGAAAGTTGAATGCATAATTCCCATGGAGGAATTTGCACCTTTCCTACATTATGTTTGTGTGTGTGTGTGTGTGTGTGTATAGGCTTCTTTAAACTGATAGTTTGACATAAATTCTAATAGTCTTTTTTCTTTTTTTATGAAGTGCCCTTTTGTCTCTTCTGTCTTTGAAAGTCTCCTGTCTTGTCTCATTACTCTGCCGCAGACTATTGAGGCTAATTGGCGATGTGGAAGACACAACTTGCAGAGGATTCAGTGTCGCTCAGAAAACAGTAAAGGGGTTTACTGTCTCCAGTATGATGATGACAAGATTATCAGTGGCCTTAGGGACAACTCCATCAAGGTATTTGTTTTTCAGCTATTACACAACCATGACTAAGCTTGTAAATTTAATTTTCAACTATATTTTCTTTTCCTATCTATTTTTTTGTAACTCATTAGTTTTTCTTCTATCAGGGAAAATAAGTCCAAATGCAGAATATTTGTTTGCAGTTACAAAGTAGCTGTATTTGTATTCAGTTTGCATTCAATCTGCTCCCATCAAAGTCAGCCCTTTTTCAGAGACCCTTTTTCCAAACCATCAGAACAGACTTTGTTGATCAGAAATTCAACTACTTTTCAAAATGCGTAGGGAAATTTGGGCTCTAAAAACGTAAAGCAGGTGTATTGTTACTAAGTTGTAACTGCACGGTCAGTGTGCTTTTCCAAGTGGTAGCAATGAAACAATTAAAAAAAAGGAAAAGAAAGAAAAGCATTTAAAGCTACTGTAGTCATAAAAGTCATTAAATCAGTCCTCCCCTCTGGTCCAAACAGGCATGTTGAAATAAGTATCAGCATTGATTCTGTTGCTGTGTTTTAGCCCTGCATCGAATGTGCTGCATTTCTGCAAAGAGGCCTGTTTTTCGAAGCCGTGTTTGTATATTTATGAATTGAATTTTCTCCTGGCTCAGAGTGGCTTATCATCTTATTGTGTGTGGGGCTGGGCTGAATCAGCAGACACTGAGACGGAGCACAAGTGAATTATGGGACAAGGGGGGCTCAGCTACACGACTTGGTGTGTGTTCCATTTATCTGCCTGGCCTGGGAGAGGAGAAGATGATGATTGAGAAGAAGTCATGGATGGTGGGAGGAGGAGAGCAGATTTGTCTTACTGTAATGGGGCCGGCTGCAGCACACCCGGCCAATGGCTGAATGGCTTTCTGTAGGCAGAGCTCCGCGCAGCAGTGGGGAAATGGGGCATGAACAGCATACGGACATTGCTGTGAGAATAGGCCATTCTTAGCATGACCCACATATGCATCCTTTTTGAAAATCACGTATTCTCCCGTGCACTCCTCTGCTAGCGTGTCCCTCTGCCTCACTCATCCTCCCCTTTCTTTTCGTTTGGCCTTTCAGATCTGGGATAAGCAGACACTGGAATGTCTGAAGATACTGACCGGTCACACGGGCTCAGTACTATGTCTCCAGTATGATGAGAGGGTCATTGTCACCGGGTCTTCTGACTCTACTGTCAGGTATGGCACACATCTTCCAGAAAAAAATTACTTTGATGAATTTTTGTTTTGGACCAAAGCTCTTCCCGAAGTATTGAACTGATCCAGATGAAATGAACGGCTGCATGGCTTTTGGTCAGGAAAACTGGTGACTGGATTGGATTTTTGCAGCCACAACCATGTTTCACTGGTTCAAATTTAACTTCTTTTTACTAAATAATAGAAAAATTTGAAAGAGGAAACTTAGATCAACCATAACAATGCAATGGGGAAAACAAACAATCTTTTAAGATTAATTACTTGTGTAATATAATTTAAAAGTCCACTATGTGGCAAATGTGACACATATAGTGACAAATGACAGCAGAAATCAAACACCCTTACCAGCCGAATAGCTCTTCAGCCCCCTTAAAATATAGCGTATATATTACAAATTATGACATTGATCATTTTCAATAACATCACCGTTATACAGGGTCATTTTCAGCTGCCTCTAAGATGAAAAGTGTTTGATTGGTGTTGTTTTTGTTGTTTTGAAAGCAGCCACGCTTTGTAAAAAATATTTGCAAGTAAAATTCCTCAGTGCTGTCAAGCAGAAAAGGAAAAAAATCAGGGGCGGTCTCTTCTGTAATGAGTAGAGAAATGTCTCTATAAAGAACTACTTCCTCCCAATTTAATTACCTGACGCTTTTTATGGTTTAAAACGCCCTAAAATACGAGTACGCACAGTAAAACACGTTAAGGTGGTCTTACTTTTAGTTATTCCACATTTACAATTAGCTCCCATCTAACTACATCACATGTACGTCATAAGCAACACTGAAGTTTATTCATTCATAAAAGGTCAGATTTACGGGCATAACTGGAGATAGTGGGAGATGTTTTATTGCATACATTTAAAGACTTGGCCTGTGTGTATGCTTTGACACTTGCTTGGCTACTGCACACAGAAGCTCCAAATTAATTCTCTTATAACTTTACACTTCAGGCGTACTCATTGGGTGGTATCCAAGGAAAATATGACTTCACTTCCTTAGCAACAGCTTGACAGGCACTTTGTTTGTAGGTTTAGCAGTCAGTTTTTCCAGTGTGTTTTACATTTGACTCTCTGTGTTCACCAGAGTATTTCACCGACAGACCTTTTGTGTGTGTGTGTGTGTGTGTGAGAGCGCACGCAAAAGCATGAGTGAAATTTGAGTTTCTCTCCATTGTAGAAACAACAGATGAAATTCTCTAATGTCTCCATTGTCTTACTTTTTCCCTTGGTCCCATTGCGTGTCATTTCCATGCCATCTTGTTTTCTACCATTCCTTTGACTACCCCATCTATTTTTTTTCCTTTTTGCTGGCCCCATCCTGCTATCCTTTTCCTCTTCTCTGCTCTTTGCAATCCTTTCCCTCTCTTACACTCTGCCACCTCTCCTTTTTGCCCCATCTCATCTTCTCATCCGTCCTGGACATTTGGCCTTACTGACTGGCCTCTCAAACGTCTGTGCGCTGTTTCCCCTCAGAGTCTGGGAGGTGACGACGGGTGAGGTACTGAACACACTGATCCACCACAACGAGGCGGTTCTTCACCTGCGTTTTGCGAACGGTCTGATGGTCACCTGCTCTAAGGACCGTTCTATTGCAGTCTGGGACATGGCCTCGCCAACCGACATAAGCCTACGCCGCGTCCTGGTGGGACACCGGGCTGCAGTCAACGTTGTTGACTTTGACGACAAATACATAGTGTCCGCCTCAGGGGACCGCACCATCAAGGTCAGCCGGGGAAGTCGTCTCCAGGAGTCAAAGAAGCATAACGTTTCTGAGACCCGCAGACGTCAACCTGGACAGTGACCCTCACCGTTTTGCCTCTCTGTAGGTATGGAGCACCAGCACCTGTGAGTTTGTGCGCACTCTAAATGGTCACAAGCGGGGGATTGCCTGTCTACAGTACAGAGATCGTCTGGTAGTCAGCGGTTCATCCGACAACACAATCAGGTATGCGTAAAAAAAACAAGCAACATATGGAGGTGGTCTGTGCTGTAGCTGCCAAGTTCTCTGTAACAGATCGTTGTGACAGAATTGACTGCTGTCAATGTCTGTAACTGTAAATTTTCAATCACACTTAGATGGTGGTGCGAAAGCAACCACATGAATAAAAATAAAACACAGGTCCTGATATCTGCCAGGAGTGTAATCCTTCTTTAAAGTGTCATTTTTCGCAGTAATATTTGGACAGAAATCCAAATCCTGCGTGTTGGTTGTTCACAAAGGCTCCTTTTTCTGCAGGTTATGGGACATAGAGTGCGGGGCGTGTTTGCGAGTGCTGGAAGGTCACGAGGAGCTGGTGCGCTGCATTCGCTTTGACAACAAAAGGATTGTCAGCGGCGCCTACGACGGGTGAGTATTGTGAATGCAGAATTCGTGGCCAAGGCTGGATTTGTTTTTCTGATGTTCTCTTGTGCCATGTCTCTCTCTCCAGCAAGATAAAGGTGTGGGACCTGCAGGCAGCCCTGGACCCACGAGCCCCGGCCAGTACACTATGCCTGCGCACTCTAGTGGTAGGTTTCATGCTGGATGTTTCTGTGTGTAACGGTGTTTAGAAAACTGTTTGATGCCGGGGTGTTGTTTATTTTTTTTTCCCTTAACTCAAGGTTTCTCATCTATACATATAAAAGAATACAGGTAGTCTCTGTCAAATAAGAACTGTGTGAGGTTCATTGGTTCCCAAACTGAGAAACTAATTTGATTTACCTTTTGTGGGGGTATGATCGTTTTGTGTAGATCCAAACTCTTCCCAAGTTTCCTCCCTCTCTTATGTTGGTAATTGACTCCGATGTACAGTATACTGTATGGTAACGACTCCATCCCATGTCTTGTCTTCAGGAACACTCTGGCCGCGTGTTCCGCCTGCAGTTTGATGAGTTTCAGATCATCAGCAGTTCTCATGATGACACCATTCTGATCTGGGACTTCCTGAACGTCTCAACCAACGGCCAGCCAGAGGGAAGATCTCCTTCCCGCACCTACACATACATTTCTAGATAGCAGGTACACAGATACTCTCGACTGTGAAAGCATGGATCTCCATAGCAAAGGAAATCAAACGCATCCTATGCTCACCCTTGCTGCACACTTATCTGTGTGTGTGTGTGTGATATGACATCTCTGCTTTCTCTCTTTAGGTGGAGCCCTTCAACACTTCCTTTCTTGGAGGAAACCTAGGGCTGATTAGCTGATGGGTGCATCTGTCGTGCAAAGGAGCCTATCTTTTCTCCTCCCTCCTTGTCATCTCTCTGTCCATCTCCCACAGCTCCCTGCCTGTTCTGACAGACTCTAAGATTGTGCCCATTGCCTGACAGTACAGTGACATACACACAGACCAACACTGAGGATTCCTTACTACAGACCCAATGCAACTCTCTCAACAAATTCACCTTCTTTGACTAATTTATGTTTTGTAAAGTACACTAATGACAGTATTAACACAGACCGTATATAAGCCACAACTTCCCTTTTTGTCCCCTTGATACGAACTTAAAGCGGCTCCTGCTCGTCAGTTTTTAATCCCTAACAAAACAGGTTTCCACTGATATAAAATCGCTTATAGGTATATATTTATATATATTACACAGACGCACACATACACAGTGGCACAGTTGGACAGAGGATGACCAGAGCTGTGATGTGGGAGATAGAGACTCTTGACTCGGCTCTAGGAAAGAAGGGAAGGACGGGAGACGGAGGGAGTGAACTGAGGAGAAATGTGTCGGGGATAACCTCGACGCTCTCACACTCCTCCTCGCTTCTCTGCGTCTCTCTCTCTCTCTCTCCATCCCCCACACCCACCCCCCCTCGCTCCCCCTCCTACCAACCCCCCAGAGATGCACACTTGCTTGGAATTTGGGGGCGCACACGCTCGAAAGTGTGTGTTTGCATTTGTGGACTTTGTGAAATGGCAGAACAGAGCAGAAGCATCAGACATGCATGTGAGGTTGCCGTGGATACAGCATCCTGGTACACCTCTGCTTTTTTTTTTCTCTTTAACTCTTTCTTACTGTTTTTTTTTATTATTGTTATTTTCTAATTTTATTTGAGTATTTTGGTTCTTAGTACAAAAAAATCATACTACTAAGCCTAGTCCTTTCGCCTCCCTTTTTCTCTTACTGTCTTTCTCCAGTTTTTTTTTTTTCTTCTTACTTCAACCCATGTTCATCTGTCCCTTTCACGTCATCTTTCTCTCCGATCATCTACATGCTTGCTTTGGTTATGAGAGAAGCTGGAATTCAAGAGCTCAAATTTAGCTGTAAACGGAGTTGTCTTGTCAAATTGTGTTGTATATTAAAATGATTTTTTAAAGAAGAAAAATGACCTTATTGTGAATAAAGTACTTGACAGTGGTGGAGTGTTGAGCCAACTATAACATGAATGAGTGTCTTAAGTGTCTATCTGTTCTCGTCTGTGTGCATGTGTGAGTGGTTTTGTGTTGTGTACTTTGCCATGTGACCAGTGTATACAACAAACCGTATGGTTTTAAATATCTTCTTTGTTCTTTCAACAGTATTGGGAAGTAGTACTGTTTGCATGGCAAACAGTGGAGTTATTGAAATTTAATTTCCTTTTTATTTTTTGATGATTATTTTTTAATGTGGAACGTTGCTAACAGCAACTAAATTAAAATGTGGTCACTATTGAGGGAATGTACTAGAAAAATTCAGGGGAGGTGATGCCAAGTTCAGAATATCTCCCCATGAAATGCCTCATGTTCAGGACCAGAAATATTTCTCCATTTGGATTGAATCCATTGAGTATGCGGTAATCTTTGTCTTGTCACATGTGGGGGTTGTGATCATTAACATCAAGTTTTAATGAAAATGTTCTGTTCTCATCTGTGAAAACTGACCAAGTCTGAAAAAGTGCGCTTTGGTTAGTTTTGAAATTTTTGTAACTTTTTTACGAACCACATGTCAAGTCACTGATTTAAGCAAAAGGGATTTATGTTTAAACCAAAGTTAATATAAAAAAAACAAAAACAATGTTGCAATAAACTGACATGCCACTCCTATGCACAGTCCTGTGGGACTAGTAATCAGCAAAAACTTAGCCTTTGGTTGTTTTTTGGTCTGTTTCTTTAAAGGAGAAACTGTGAATGTGTCAGTGTGGCAACTTTGCCGCTGTTCTGAAAATGACCACTAGATGGGAGTGTTGACTCACTTTCTCTCGCAGGGGAAATCTGTTGGAGGCTTTGGCTCTGACTGTTGGTTTGGAGTTTGGTGTATAAACAACCTGTTGCAGAGGATTGCGTACGCAGTCCTGTAAACAGTGTCACTGTGATGACGCCATGTGTGTTTGGAATGATGTGAGCTGTACATTTTCTAGCAAAGCTCCGTGTTGAATTGACTCTACTGTACATTTTTCCAATTATTCTTCAGTGTGTATTCTTCATAACAGGAGGTGGCCTGCTCAGAGGGTGTGGGGTTTTTTGGGGGATGTTCAACGTTTCTGGGTTTACTTCTGTATAGTAAAAGGGTTCAGATTCTGGGAATAAGTAATGTGGGATGGATTTGTGCTTGGTGGAGCACCATTAATATATGATGTGTGTATGTGTTGGATATGGGTGTGTGTGCTTCCTCTGGGTCTGTGGGATTCTGGCCCATAATTCCTGCAGCTCTCAGGTCACAGCGCTGTTCTCACGCACATATTTGGCATTCCTTCCCCGACATGATTACCATACACCTTCCACTCTGGGTTTGGCTACGCGGAATATTTCCATCATTCCCGAGCTGAACTGAAGCAACGTTCCAGAAGTGAACAACTCAGCCCTGCACCGCCACCCCCTACTCACTCTTCTTTATCCCACACCCGCTTTCCCTCCCACCTCAGTGTCTCCTTATACTGTCCCCCCACCCCCTTCTGTTGCAGATTCCCGCTGGCTTGCAATAAGAATCCTCTGGTACAACCTTTTTTCCCCCTGAGTCAGCTGTTTGTGTCTGCCGACACGATTGGGTCATTTGGCAGCGACATCTTTTCAGTGACCTCCCGCTAGGATAGGGAAGGAAGGAGTGGGGGGGGGGGTGGTGAGGGGGATGAGAAGGAGAAGCAGTTATAAAACTTTGTGTCACTACTGCATTTCACCTCTACTTTTCAGCCGGATCCTTCGTTCTGTATCGGTGGAAAAGATTCAGTTTTTCTGATGCGTCACATTTTTACAGGGCTTCTGCGTGATACTGGTAATACTGGTTTCTTTTGTATTTCCAGTGCTATTCTATAACGTCCCAGTTGCTGTGTTTGTTCACAAGAACCATGAAAACCAGAGACATTGTCCAACTGTGGCCTTCAAGTGTTTGCACCATGGCTCTACCTTCTCGTTCATACAATGAATTTCTGTTCACAAATTCACGCCCACACCTGCTTGGAGGCACAAAGTGAGATTCATACCATTGCTTGAATTTGTCCCATTTTTCTCAGAAGGCCTTGATTCATGTTTTATGCAGCTTTGTGGTGATTCATGAGTGGGTGACGATGCAATGTAATTAATAGCAGCAAAAATTCATCTTTCTTTGTTAAAATGAATGCATACAGTTAATAAGGCCTAATAGGGTTGGGCAGTATTGATACATTTTATCATGGTTACGTTTGTTTGTACAGTACTGTGCAAAAGTCTTAAGGCAACCATCATTTCATCAGATTTTGCTCCCACTAAGCCAAACCTTCTTGTAATCTTTTAAAATGGTCATAAACAACTATTTTCCTGACTTTCAGAGTTTTTCTTTATATACTGAACTCAATAAAACATGTACCATTTGTCTGTGAAATAACTTGTTTCTGACCATTAATTATTCAAACACAAAAAGGCACTTAACTCAAGGTTGTGTCTACAAGTTAAACTTGCCAAAATTAATCTTCACTTGCACATTTGTTATTTCTTCAGATTCTGTTCCCAAACAAGCCAATGATAACACAGTTCTAAAGACATAACATCTAGTTTTGCACCAGCGAGATGCTTTCCTAAAAGCTATTAGCTTAATATTGTGTACCTGAGCATGGTATGCAGTGCATCATTTACGAAAAAGGAGAAATAAGTACTGTACATACGTTTGAAATCATTAAAAAAATCAGTAGGTAACCAAGATCAGAATCTGATACCTTCCAAAAAAAGGCATTCATCCGTCCGTAAGTTCATCCATTTACTGAAACCATGTGATAAATGTTGTCTGTGGAAATGTGGCTGTTGAGAAGTCATTCTTAAAGAAAGGAAACAAGGATGAAAGGCTGAGGTATGCCGAATGGCACAAAAAGCAGAATCAGTAGCAACAGTTTTCGGTGTAGTGAAGAATCCCGCCCAGCATTGTGTGTTACTTTTGACAAAGAATGGAATACAAATGTAAAGATGTTTTTCAAAAGGTTTTGGATAGCTATCAGTGAAGAGCACACTTCATGATGAGTTGAAGAATGAGGGCGGTCATGTCAAGCAGTGACTAAAAGTACGGTGGAAACTACACTGTATGCTGTCTGCCTTATCAGCTGCATTTCCACTTGTGTTTATGCTGTTTCTAATTTATTACTGCATCTCTTTTCTGTTTGTTCTACAACAATCAGGGCTGGCCCGCACCATTTGCACAGTACTGTATATAAAACGGCACAAGTAAATTGGAATAAGAAGTAAATTAGCTCGTGAATTAAATGCAATAACCAGTTAAAAGAAAAATCCTGAAACCCTGAATTTAAGTTAATCCTTTTCACTCAGTCACAGCAAAGCTCAAATATTTAGTTTCATAAACTCATCATCATTTAATGTAATAGCATTGAATTACTCAGACCCAAAGTACTCTAGAATTTCCCAGATGTCTCAAGACTGTGTTTTGTTTCCAAAACCAAAAGATGGTTAATTCCCAATGATATAAAACAAATAAAGAAACCCAACTGACATATTTCAGTAGCTGGAACCAGCCAATGTTTGGCAATTAGCTGAACAACTTGTGTGTTTGTTTGCCAGAATGAAACGGCTGACCACAGCAGCAGCATCTGTAAACTTGAGTCCCTTTCATTATTAGCAACAAAACAGAAACCAAATGGGGACAGAGCAGTTGAAAAAAGCTGGGAGACACAGGATTTTTTTCTGTAAGGTTTACTGAGTCTGGAACGCCTGCTGCACACAGAGCTGAAATAAATAAATGAAATAATTTCATTGTAACAATTATAGTAACCATCATAGTAAGATTGCTTATTTAGGGTTTCTGACTTCTTTAGATATATATATACATTACATATGTATACATATGTATATATATTTATACACACATATATATACGTATATATACATATATATGTATATATATTTATATACATATATAATTTTCAATAAATTGTTCCCTTTAATATTTTACTCCTGTGTGTATGCATGAGACTTTGGTTTGTTCCACAGTGTCCTGGTAGCAGCACTCTGTATCCACGGTATCACACAGGAGCATCATCTCCTGGGTCGTTTCTATAGCGATGCTATTAGAGAAGGCACCCTTCCCACCGGGCTCTCCCCCTGCACTCATCACACTCTACACCTAAAAGCTTGGGGTGTAGCATCCTCCAGGGAGGCAGGGCATGAGGAGGAATCATGAAGTAGGTTTCCAGTTTTCTTTGGTTGCCACTGGTTTGGTTTTTGTGGTTTTGTTGGGTGTTTTTGGTGCGGCTTTTTTTTTTTTTTTTTATACATTCCAGTTCCTAAAGCTTCAGTCCCTGCGGTGAGTTGTCACGGGTTCATGTGGGTACTATATGGTCCCTTTCCAGAGTCCCTTGTGATCTATCTCCACAAGCACACACACACACACACACACACACACACGTATCGCATTTGTTGTCCTCTGCTTACAAATGTGCATTTATTCAGCGTCATTCATTCTAATTTGTCCTCATTCGTCCTTTTATCCATCCGTCCTGCCATCCATTCAACAGTCTTCAAAAGTTACCACCAATGTAGCAGTGAGACAGATAAGTGCGTCACGTGTCAACAGTCCAGTATATGTCCGTTGCCACAGTGTAATTCACGCTAACTTTCTGTCCACTTTATTGTTTCCCTTTATTCATCTCCCGGCTTTCCCATAGTTCATAGGCTAAGCACCCACTCCGTTCCTCAGTTTCTCCCACACATCTGAACTCGGTATGGTCCAGTTGTAATTCCATGCTTGGCAATGTCCAGCTGATCAAGAATGGGAGACATAAAGGTCTGGTGGTCCCTGTGGCTGTAGAATCAAAGCCTCTGTAGAGCCTGTGACTCTGACTGGCGTTCAGCTTCTCTGTATCTACTTCTGGCCTCTAAAGGAAAGCAGACCAGGTCCAAGGATCTTCCAGCACTGATTGAATTATAGTCCAGTTGGTGCAGTAAGGGAACAAAAGAGAAACTAGGAGAAATTATCACTAACTCTGGGCTTGTAGTGGCACATTAGGATGCGTAAAGCTAAACCCCATGAATGATTCATCAACTTTCTGGTCAATATTTCTCCAAACAAGCAGGAGATGATCAGTCGTGTGTGACATGAAAGATGACTGGGTGAGCCATTGGCAGGCTGGAGGATGACAAGTTAGCGGGTGCTAGCAATAAACACTAGCGGGGTCCAGTAGCACGCACCCTCTTTCCACGCTTGCTTATGGTGGTGAAGCGGAAGGGGGTGGTGAGGTCAGGCTGCTCCCCGGGTGGGAAGCGTTTCATGAAGTGTACATCCTGCTGGTTAGGGAGTGTGTGGGGCCCACGGCGAGGACGCCCTCTTTTAGTGAAGCCAACATACCAGCCTGCATAGCGTGCTGACATCAGAGCCGTGTAGTGGTTTTCCAAAACCTTTTCCACAAAGACACAGTCGGCACTTCGGTTACTGGCCTTCTGAGAGACAGAAAAAAAAAAGAGAGTCTGGTGAGAGAATCATGACAAAATATATACTCTTATTAATGGATCTCTAAAAGGGTTCTCACCTTTCCTACCAGCTTCCCACGTCGGTTCATGCACAGGTAGAAATTGGTTTCTTTGCCCCGAATTCTCACCTGGCTACCAAAGGTATCTGCCTCCACTACGAGCTGGGCTTGTAAAGGGACAAACAGAGGGACAGTCAGACATTAGAGTTACAGATAATGTGGAAAAAATCGAACACATATTTGTATGCAGCTGATGTTTGTCATATTTAAAAGGCTTGTTGGTTTGTCATTTTAAAGCAGAGAGATAGAGATATCCCTTGCGTGGATGTTGCGTAGTTACAGGTTGCCTGAGGTTGCTCTCGCGATCGCAAAGAAGTGTTAGAGCCTACGCTGACAGACCCCGCTGCCAAGAAGTGTCACGCTAATAGCACAGATAACGGGGCAGCGTTAAATTTAAACAAGCCCTTTTAAACCAGATAAGGCATTGAAGCTTAGTCCCAGTTCTAAGATTCATAGTTGCTATTAAATGTGCTGATAAATCACGGACAGATGTAAATGTCCCTGGCTGGACAGATGGTTGTCAGATAAGGCCGATCACACACATGGATGTCAGGTCGCTGACCGCAAATGGGCCTTGTAAAAAAAAAAAAAGAAAAGAAGAAAAGATAACAGCCAGGAGAAGAGGGAGCGTGGTGGAGTGCCGGGAGCGGAGGAACACTTAGATGGAGCGTCTGTGATCCTGCTGTGTTAAGGTCTGTGCATGTGCTCCAGCGAGTGTGTGCAGTTACGTGTGCACGTTCATCCTCCCAGGCAGAGTCACTTCACTAACTACACATCTTTGGCCTGAGCTTGTGCCTGTTTAAAAACAAATCCCTAAAACGGTTCCTACATGACCTTAGTCAACAAAGGGGTCAGGGGAAATCAATACCTTCCTCCCTCTTGCCCTCTTCATCTCTCTTCCCCCAACTCTCCTCCTATCTCCCTTCTGCTGTGATGCTTCACGTTGACACAGAAATTTAATTTCTCTCTGCTTTTGGTTAAATTAATAATGCACAATTTAGTTGTGTCAGTATTTTGACTTTTTTGTTCAAAAGTGAGTTGTTAAAGAAAAGAAAAAGTAAGAAAAAATGGCAATCTATGACTATGTTTGGTGTGAAGTGGCGCGTTTGGGAACTAGCGCGCTCACAAATGGACAGGATGTGCCATATGTGCCACTGCTGGGCCGCACACCAAAACATGAAGCTTTATGGCTTGGCTTTTCTTCTCTCCATTGATTCCCTGTGGCTTAAGAATGGGTTAGCCATCATCAGATTGAGGAAGGGGAAGATGTGGGGGATGGCCAGAAAAGAGTGTTTGAGGATGGATGGAGGGAGGGGAAGTAAGCCGGCTGTTTTAAATCCAGAAGAGACAACAGGAAGGATGAAAAATCAATAGGAGGATCGATGAAGGGGATGAGTTTCTAACACTCAGTCCGACACTCTACCTGCCAGGCATCTTCCTCGAACTCCCTCTTTTTTCACAAGCACCTTTTTCTCTCTTCCTCTGTCTTTTGCTCTCTTGTGAATCATTGAGTCAGCACACAGTCGATGAGGTCTTTGTACTCCCAAGACAAGCTCCACTGCCCCTCTGTCAAAGCCCGGGGAGGCCCTGTGTGTGTGCTTTTGTGAGCGTGCCTGCACTGTTGCATTCTGTCTCCATTCAAGCATGCACTTGGTCAACCTTTAAGTCTTTGTAGTCATTAGATGGTGTGAGCGTGCGTGTACGTGCCAGTTAACATCACACAGAAGATTTGCGCGTTGTCCTGGGTTCTACTGTGGATGCGTTTGTGTATGTGTGCGTGTGTGTGTGTGTGTGTGTGTGTGTCCTACCATATTTGTCTCCGTCTTCTCCTCTAGCGCTGATCCGCCGGCCCAGCACCTGAACGTGTTTGCCGCTGGTGCGGCTGTAGAGCTGGTAGACTCTGTGATGTCTGCGACTCATGGTGTCTCGCACCTGCGTCTGGTTCTCCACGTGCACGCTGAAGTTGACTCCATCCACGCCGAGTACCTGCTGGAACACCCACACACACACACACACGCGGCCAGAGTTCAGCCCGGAGCGTTCAACACATTCAATTTAAACACATTTAAAACAAATACACAACTTGTCTTTAACGCTGCCCGATCGCTCCTTGTCATGCGTGCCAGCACTCACCTGCAATGGATTGCACATCACCAGCAACATCTGGATACATCTGGGGGGGAAAAAAAAGTAGAAACAGATGAGTTTAGAAATCTCAAACGCTGGAAGAGCTAGGCATGACACCATCATTTCCAACTCTTTCTTCTCTGCTGCTCTCAGCGTTCAACATCTCATTTCCTTTTTCAGTGATTACTCACACCGCTGGGCGTGCGGCTGGCACAGCTTCTTGACATACAGAGAGGCAGATGTCCAGGAATCATCTGACAGACAACACCCAGAGCCGTGTTTATAGTAACGCCACCAGCCTTCTGTTCAAGCCTACTTTCTGACCCGTCTGTGACTTGCCACGCCAAAATCTGGCCTCCAAATGACCTGATTGGACCATAGCGGATTGGCAAACATACCAAGGCAAGTGGAACATGCTTTGGTTGGGACATCTAAGGAAGTTAGTTGGCTCATTTGGCAGCTCCCTGTATGTGGACAGCTGGGCTGGACCACAGGTGTACGCTCTGCTGTGATGTGGCTTTGGTGAACTGCAGACTGTGTTTACATTCAGAGCCGGTATGAATAAGAGAGAATATGAGCCACTCGGACATGTGAAAAGATGAATTATGGAAATAGAAATTTGTAGCGATATAGCCCACCAAATGACGGAGGCTCGTCTATATGAAAAGATGCACCTGTGCATGATTCCCTATTAGTTATTCATCGAGTTGAACTTTTAGGTGCATTTTTGAGCAAACAGCTGGTTATAGTTACAATTAAAATTCTTCTCACTCTATCACATTGCTTAATTGAGGTGTAGACCTTGACCTTGGATGTATCACACGTTATTTACAGCTTTAGTAAGGGAGTGATTGTGTTGCAAAATCTATTTTGGCAGTCCTTGAACAGCTCTGAATTAGAGGCTGAACACTTGATGAAGTTCAGAACCAAGTGTGTGGGCTGAGAAGCAATTCAATGAATTTTGTCTTTCCCCACCTCATCTTTTGCTATCTTTCCACATGCCTCGTCTCTCTCTTTCTCTGACTTACAGTCCTCCCTTTTGCTCCTCCAACTTATCTCTCCCTCCTCATCATTCTGTCCACTCTACCTTTCTCCTATCGTTCTGTGCCTCCAATCTGCCTTTATGTTTAGGGTTAGCAAAGCGACTCCTCCGCACTGTCACGGGCACGCACACAGATGTGCAGATGTGTGCAGTGTGAATTTGTGTATACAGAAGGAGCAGGCAGCTGACAGCTGGGCCCGAGTAAAGACATGCAGAGAGAGGGAGAAAACATGGAGAAGAGAAAGGTAGACCGAAAGGAATACAGCGGCACAACAAGAGAGAAGGGCAGAGGAAGGTGATTTAAGAATAAATAGATGGCAGACGAAGCCAAAGAGGGCTGACGGGGAATAGAAGAGGTGAGAGAAATCGAATCTGAAAGAGCCGGCAGATGCACAGATGTAAGGTGGAGCTGGGCCTGAAAAACACTGAGGCTACACGTAATGAAGGAAGGAGAAGAAGAAGCAAAAATGAGCAACAGAGTTGTTATCACAGGGTGTGGAGTGACATGAGAAGTAGACAAAAAGAGAAACAATGGGATAGGGAGGTGTTCAACTCATGCAAATTGTGAAACGTTGTCTCTGTCCCCAGACTTATACGCCTGTGCTATCACAGGCTTCCAGTTTCCTTTCTCTTTGCCCTTCTGTCCCAGCCTTTTCTCTCCCATAGCTGCTGTGTTGGCTCCTGACTCATCCTAATAGATGCAGACATCCTGGGAAATGCAGCAGAGCATTGGCCCTCACATTTGCCTGTGTAGTCGAAAAAAACACCAGCGCCTGTGCATTGTGAGGACTCTCAGCTGTTAAAACACCGAAGCTGCACTGGTGCCGAGGACGCTGTAGGAAAAGTGCCTCAGCAATGGATTCCCCCACTCCCACAAAAACCACAGACACTCCATATTATGCCAGCCACAGAGGGGAAAAAGAAGGAGAGAGGAAAGAGAGAGACGGGATCAGCCGGCGGTGGGGGGAGGGATGAGAAAACGAGAGAATAAGAGAGTGTGGAGTAAAATTCGGGGAGAGTAAAGGCAGAAGGTGGTATGGTGAAAGGGAAAGCCCGGTGCGCTCGGGCCGGCTGCCAAAACAAGCAACCATCTGACATCATAAACCTGTGTCCCAGTAGATCGACCATATGGGGGCTGTGGTTAGACAAGCAGGCCTCAGCGCAGAGAGCTGGGCATCAGCGTGGAGGGAGAGTGGTCGACCTGAGGGACTCGGCACAGAGCGGCGGTTTCAGCCGTGTTTAGCAGCGGTTAACGTGGTAGGCCAGCGCTGGAGCAGCGGGCTTCAGCGCCGCAAGAGGTCCAAATGCTCCGCAGCACGCCTTGTTTTAGAGCACTGCTTAGTGGGGCTGTGAGCCAACTTAATGCCTGGGATGCAGCACTGCATAGAAAAGCTGAGGGCTTAGACATGGCAGTGGCTTTAGGCAAAGAGCAGTAACAGGTTGTTGGATCTAAAACGAAGAAAAAAAAACTTCAGATATTTTTGGCCGACTGGAAAAGTGTGGAAAACGGCATGTGGAGGTAGAGAAGGGGTTATGGTAAGACAGATAGATGAGATGGAAATGAATGGAGCAATGATTGGCTCCGGTAGGCCTAAAGTAGAACCAGCAGACTAAACAGTGGGAGAACTCCTCTTCAGACGCAGCCAGGGGTGGCATCATTCATCAGTTATTAATTCATACTTTTTATCCAAGCAAGCATCTACGGAAAAAATGGGTATGGGCAAGACAGGAGCACAGATGTGGACAGTTCGGTGAGTAAGTGGAGAAAGTTGGTGAGCAAGACAAAGAGAGAGAGAGGCACGGAGAGACAAGCAGCAGCACACACCCTGTCCAGGTTGTGTGAGGAATGAGAGGTATCTGGAGATGACTGCCATCTGGGAGAAGCACAGCCGACACAAAGGAAGAAAAATAAATCCCTCGGTTTTTAACAAGACACACCTCAAATGGGCAAACTCAAGCCCCCCGAGTCTGTATCCTCCTCCCTTAGATTTGCTCTTGGCACTTTATCATTTTCCTATCCCACTAGATAAAGCCGGTGATATTCGACTCAACATCTGAAATATTTTCAAATGGAAAAAAAAACAAAACACTTTCTTGGCAATGGGAAGGTGGTCTTTTTTGGGTCATCCCAGAAGTAAGTGCAGATGGTGATGGAGATGTTTATGGCAGATTTTATGAGTAACAGGGCCCTGAGTCTGACCCAGTGACCCTGAACTGTCAGCCAATCAAAACAGGGCCTTCCATGGCATGTTTTCTATGGGGACTGATGAGGAGTGATGTAATCTCAAGACATTGTAACCTTTCCCTGTATTATATTCATCTGTAGTTCAGACTATCCAACAACTTTTAGCTGAGCAGAAAAACCCGGGAATGGGGTTTGGAAAATAAGATGTATACATTAAAAAAAGCCATTTAAGTAACTTACAAGACGGTCAGCGTGGAAAGAAGGGGCCACATTGCTTCCCCCCTCCACTATGAAACTTGTCCCAGAGACAGTCTCGTCGCTTGGCCGGACTCAGTCCAAAAGTCCGGAGAGTTCCCCTCTGTGTTTTGAATCCGGTGGATGTTGTGCACAGTCAATGGGTTAGCGGCCACTCCTGTTGGCATCGGCGGCGATGGGCCCCGGTTTCCCCGGTGAGGGCTATGGAGGTGTGTGTGTGACGCCGGGGTAACTGTATCGCCGTGACCGCCGGGCAACCTTTATCAGCTGTCCAGACCGGTGGTGGGACGGGTGGGCGGGGGAGCCAACGGTGCGGACTTGAGAAGGCTCACGCTTGCGCGTACCCGCGAAAGAAACAGGTGAAAGCGCGCTCACGCGTCGCCGACGGCCAATATCAGTCGACCTCGCTGAACCCCAAAGTGATGCTTGGCCCCTGCCGGCAGATGTGGCGTGTGTGTAATCCAACGCGTAACGTTTCAGCCCCAGCGGCGGGCTTTTATTTGACCCAAAAAATGAACGATGCGAGGTTGGCCAAAGCAAAGAGTGTTTTATCCTGACACGGGCTGGAACCGGAGGCAGGGTCTAGTCCGAGCGGCGCGTGGTCAAAAGCTGATGGATGTGGGCTACCTGGGTTGGCTGATGGAGCAAACAGCGACCTGGAGAAGGGGGCTCTGCGGGCGCAGGGTAGTGCAGGACCACCTCAGTCATGTCTGCGCCCCCAGGCTTGCTCAACGGCTCCGCGGCTCAGGTGACACCGGCCCGGCAGTGTGTGAAGGTGGATAAGGTGATAAGGTCCCGGAGCGGTCCAGCTCAAAGGACTATGTGGAGACTGCTGAATGAAAATACGAGGAAGGGTGGGGGGGGGGGGGGGAGGGGGAGAGAAAGAAGGGGGGGGGGGGGGGTGACTGGGGAGTTTGGGAACAGCTGTGACTGGGTGGCGGACTCAGCCACCCGCGACACAGCGAGGAAATGACAGCCGCACTTTTGCACCTGATTTTTCCGGACTTCCCCGCGTTCCTCAGCCGCTGGTCGCTGCCTGGCTGCAGCAGTCCTTTCTGCGCCCTCCCGACACAATACCTGCCAAAACACTGCACGATGACATCACCTCCGAAATGCTTGAAGGGGGAAAAATGCAATCCGATCTTTTTATTTATTTTTTTAAACGTAGAAAGTTTAGTCAGTGTCTCTGAAGGGGGAAAAACACCCTAGACCTCCTCGTTCCGAGAAAGAAAAAAGAAAAAGAAAAAAACGAACTCGGCGATGCAAGAAGAGTGGAGTTCCTCAGTTTGTGAAGAAATAAAAGTTAAGGCAAAACATGTTTACTCAAAAATCACGCTGACAGATCGACTCCCAGAGCAGAACCTGCGCCGACCCGTCCCCCCATGTATTTGCTCCCTGTTTCATTCAGACACCAGGGGAGAAAACGCAAGAGAGAACGCAAAAAGAACCCAACCGTGCGCTTTTATCCACTTCACTGGTATTATGCAGATCCTTCTCCCTTTAAAAAAAATTCCAAGGTTTCTTTTTTTTTTTTTAAAGAAAAAAGGCTCTTCTTGAGGGGGGGCTGCACAGGAGAGGCGCGTCGGCAGGCACAGACCTCACTCCAAGAAAAACCAGAACAAGATTTTAACAGACGCGGATCAATCCTCCCTCCCGCCTCTCCTCCCTCCCATCTCCCCCCCCCTCTCTCTCTCTTTCTTCCTCTCCCAGTCACACGCACACGCGCTGACGCGTGCACGTTTATTGGATCAAAATGGCATAGGTCGATTGCAACGTGATGCTGGGCAAGAATTCTCCCGTAAAATATCAATTTTGACAAGTGCTCAGCTAAACGTGAATACTTCTCGTGGATGGGATCAGTTCTCTTGCATTATGTTTCAGTCAGACACTTTGTGGACTATTGTCTGCATATTCCTTATTTCAGCCATGTGTTTGTGGCAATTCCTGAAACAAGTCAAATACATTGGAAACAATGAGGATGATGTCATGGTACCGGCAGTAAGTCACGTTCCAGAGAGAGGGGAAAAAAGGCATGAAAATGCAGTTCAGAACAAATGGGTTCTTGGGAAAGTTTCTTTGCGAAAGAGAAACTAAGAAATCCACGTAAAAATCTTCAGGACCCCTCAACACAAACACCTGGCTTAGTCAGGTGAACGTTTGTGTTGGACCTCCTTAATCTCCCCTAAAGATAACCTCTCCCTCGCAACCTCTGCGGCCCCAGCATCAAGATCGAAGGTAAAAAAGGGAAGAAAAAAAAAGTGCAGGGCAGCGCTCCCCCTCTCCTTGGCGCGCTCACACACACGCACACGCACACACACACACACATACACACACACACGGACACACACACCCTTCTCAGTCGCCGCACTTTCAAGCGATGTATTTTGACTCCCCATTTCATAACTTTTAAGTTAAACCTTAAGAGGGAAAAATGAAAAGGAGAATGAGAGACAGTCGGGAGGGCGGTATGTAAGCACGGACACGGATCCAAAACGAACATTTCTCAGGGATTTCGGCAGCAACGCCCGCTCTGCGCTCCCAAAACTCCCTCTCACCGCCGCACAACCGCAGACGGTCAGCCAAGCCAACATAACACTCCTGCCATACCTTTCATTCACACACAAACACACGCACAGACTCGCGCACGCGCCCACGCGCACGTGCACAGAGAAGGACTAAATCAGTCCGTTTGTGAGTGTGCGTATAAAAGAAGTGGGAGGGTGTTGGCCTCCTACATCAGGGACAGTAATCTTGGCTCCAATTGTAGGCTTATTCTTTTCAACATTGTACTTTTAAATCAGACACACACACACACACACACACACACACACAGAGACTGCATCTGGACAGAGTTGAGCAGGACTTGGTAGGGGCACTGTGGTTGAATGCCTTTCCAGTCATGCTCCATAGACAAGCCCCTGGCCTCCTTTCCCACTACTGGCTCTCTCCATCTTTGCACCTGTGTCTGGGTGCTTTTTCAGTGCTCACCACAATGCTGCGAGGGACACAAGTGTAAATGTTGTGGAGAGGGATTTGAACCACATTCTGGTGATGAGGTATGGGTCCGTCTGGTACTCTTAAACTCAGATGGAAGGGTTCAGAATGAGGACGGCGGCACATCTTAGAATGAGAAAATATCAGGCCTGTGGCTCGAGACATTTGGGTTATCGGTAGCAGAAGATTTAAACAAAGTAAAAGAATCCAAAATGGATTTGATGCCGCCATACTTTTATCCCCCTTTTGATGGCATTAGATTTATGTGATACCACCATTCTTCTTAGTTAATCAACATCTGACTGAGGAGTATGAACACAAAGTGATATGACAAATGGAAAAAGAAAACAGGTAAATGAAAAACCTGCAGGGCATACCTGGAGTAAAGTGTCTCTTTTTTCTCATTGTCATTTGTCTGATTGTTTGTGTGAATGTAAAACTGGATAGAAATGTTACTTCTACCAACTTTAAAAAAGACAGCAACAAAAATTAATGAACTTATCCCGTCTTTCCCTTCATCACATCACTATCTTCCATTCAGTTTTGCCCCCACCCCTCCCCTCTGTCTTTTTAATCTCTGCGGGTGATTTCTGTCTTTTCCTTCTGTCCCTCCCTGTGTTTGCAGCCAGCGTATTGATTGCTCGTGTCTTTGCCTCTGCAGTTCCTGCCTATTGATCCTCAGCTTAGGCACACATGCATGCACACCCACAAACTTGCACGCACAAACATCTTCACATGCATGCGTGTGCCCCTTCCCATTTCTCCATTCCTTCAAACCATTTTACTTTCATGCAGGCTAACTTTGCCAGACACACAATTCATACGTTCACTTGTGCACAAACACTCAGAACCGACAAGCACAGCATGACACTATATACATCTTTTTTTTTTTTTGCATATAGCCTCTGTTGTGTTGAATAGACTTGGCATTGATGGACGTTATGCCTTTGTGCTCCTCTCGCGACTCATTAAAGTGAATGAGAGCAGAGTGTGTGCGTATGCGCTGGTGTGTGTCTGAAGCCCCGTATCGGCTGTAGGTCCCTCTCTCTCTCTCTCTTCGTATTCCTTTCTCTTTCTCTGGGCCTGCAGGCTTCTTCATCCAGGGAGTCGGGTCAATATGGCCATTCTGTCTAGCAATTAACATTGATCAGTGCTCGTCAATACCGTCAGCACCCAGACAAAGACCCAGGGTGCATTGCGTGTACGTGCCCTTTCTCTATCACAGTCCAACAAATCCCCAAACAGCACTCTCATTATAGAAGGGCATTATGGGCTGACCCCGAGGTCATCATGCAGGACTCTATGTTATGGGTGACTGGAGTACAACCTAATGCAGGGCTCAAAGCGCTCTGAGCCTCGGCCCAGTTGCTGACTCATTAAAGCAGTTGTGCATGCATGTGTGGAGGTGTGCGTAAGATTTCAAGTTTAGATACGGCAGGGTTTTAGATATGGTCAAAGGCAAATTGGCAGAGAGGCAATATCGTCCCCCTGCTGTGTAGTCTGAAGTGTTTGACACTTTGAAATACTTAAATAACCTAAATGTAATCCATCATCCTGGTGACATGTTGTTGAGATTTGTAGTTCTTAGATGTGTCAAGTGCAGTGGATTGCATCCAATCAGTTTTCTCTGTGAGATATGGCATGCGTATGTTTGCATGGGTGATGGGACCATGGAGGCAAGCCTGTGTGCACTTCTCTGGAGGGAAAGTACAGCTTGTGGCTTTAATTAATACCTGCAGACAAGGACCCTAAACTTCACATGAGATGTTGAGACGTCAGCCGAACATCGGTTTCTGGGATAGATATCCCTACTCACTCTATCACGGGCCAACTTTAAACTGTTCCCCAATGTGTAAATGTATGAGACACTTAATAAAGGGCCTTTGATGACAGGGGGGCCCATGCGAAGTCAAGGAATGTGTACAGTGTGCCGGGGTTTGAAATGAGAACCTGTTCGCCACTTGTTCACGTCTGCGAGATGAGAGAATCGACAGCTGCAGCTAAGTAAGAGCAGGAATTAATTAGCAGAGAACGATAGAGAGCCCCGCTTGAGATGAAGGGAAAAGCAAAATATTGCTTTTATTAGCTGCAATGTTGGTGGTGCACAGCCTGATCCTTTCTCTCGCTGAGCAAGATTAATCCAGCGAATATGAACGTTTACTCTGCTCCATCTCAGAATCCACTGCAGCTGTTGCCTCTATACATAGGCCAGCTGAAGCACTGGAATAGCTTTACTTTGACACTTTCAAGTTGGAAGGTTTGATGCTGCTTTGGACACATGTCAGGGTAATTATTCATGCAATCTAGGCTGTCAACGCCGGGCCAAATCCCTGGTTTTACATCTTTGATTGTGCCCATGTAATTATCCCCCTGAGGGTACACCTGTATGCTGCAGGACACACAGTACGATTTCAGAATGTAATCGATTCAGTGGCTTTTAAAGTTCATTGTCATTTTCGTAAGCGAGGGTTACTAAAGTGCTTGATAATTAAAAACATCTGCTCCTTTCATATTAACCAAGAGCATAATACTTCCCCAACATCCAAAAATATATGCAATCCAGCAGCAATGCTGTCTCATCTTTGCCTCTGTGCCATCTGGCAAGGCCATTTGTTGAAGTTTGGACATTTTACTTCGATGAAGTAGTATGTTAAATTCATAAAGACATCAAACTTGGAACGCTGCATCTTTGTGCACCTGGTTCATAAATCAATATCATCAGGATCTCATGACAGAGCCTCATGACCAGGGCCAACTATTCAAGACCTTCTGAACATCCCGAAAAAATGAAAACAGAGACAGACATGAATTTCATCAACAAAAGCGACAATCTTAATATTATATTTGACATTCGACGTCCAGAATGCAAGACAGATGCTACAACATAACAGGGCGAACACACAAAAAAAAAGCAGTTTGTTACGCATTAGCGGCAGGCGTGGCTCGGCCGGGTACGGGACACTGATTGGTGGGGGCCGTTTTGTGAGCTACGAGAGTGTGTGTAAGTTAATTGCTTCTGACCAATGAGGTTGTACATAAATATGCGATTCTCAATGACTGGGTGGATGTTTGTTTAATTATGGTCCTGTGGTTGTGTGTGCTTGGTTGAGTGAGTGTGTCATGACCCTGAGCGACAGACTGTTGCACAGCTGAGCGTGTGGGGTTTGTGGCTCTAGTGTGAATGGTTAGTGGGTATGTGCAGAGGATTTTGTTGACACGGGTATGCACAAAGTTGGGTTTGTGTGTTTTGTGTCTCGATGTGTTAGAGTTATCCTGTGCTCTGTGATGTGAATTGCAGCTGTGGTTTGTGTTGGATGCTGTGGATTTTTTTCCCCTTCCCGTTTCATGTTCAGGCTCTCAGCTATGGAATCCGTGAGCATGGTAACCTTCACTCCTGTCATCTTCTTTGCTCATCTCAGCCACACTCACCTCCTCTTTCCCAGTAAGTGCCCTTTACTCTTCCATCTTCTTATTTAATCCCTTTCGTGCTGCTTGTGCTCCGTCTTGGTGTGTCCCTCTCTCCCTTTCTGTTTTTTTCCCTCTTCCTGCCCCTTTAGCCTTGCCACCGGGCAGAGGAGGAACTGTAATGTTTATGAAACCCT